ACCCAGGGCCTTGCAAGTGCTAGGTGAGCAGTAGAGTGCCCTATTTTTCTTGGCCACTGGCTGAGAAGAAATCAGCACTCCAAATTCTGGACACCTCCTTACCAGTTTTTCACAAATATATATATCCAGTATAGTAGTTTGTAGAAATGTGTAAACAAGGTCTCTGGCCTTGAGCTGGAGCTTCAGCGTGAGGCACTGGGTTTGATCCTTATTATAAAGACAATAAAATCCATCAAAAATATATATTAAAAAAAAAAAAGACTGGAACTACCATATGATGCAATTTTAATTCACAGAGATATCAACATTTCTAACATAAGAGAAGTCACCAATTTGGGCTTTATAGCAACAGCTGAGGGAGCGGGGCTCGGGTGAAGATCTCCCCTTCTCAGTGCTGTCCTTTGTTGAGAGCCACAGCCGAAGGGGCCCCAGCAAACTTCCAGCTGCCAGCTGATGATTGGCTCACTGTGGCCCCAGCAAACTTCTAGATACTAACTGATTGGCTCCTCTGTGGTGATGCCCATTGGGTTGTTTCCCCTCCCTTTCAGACCACAGAGCTGCTCACTGGGGGACTTTTTTTGGCTCTGCCCACATGACCCAGCCAATCAGCCTCAAGAGCAGGAGGAGTGGAGGAGGTGGAGAGGCTTGTGGGAAGCCAGTGGTGGCAGTTGGGCTCTGAGGGTTTTTCCTGAGGAGCTGTGTGGTGTGGTGTGTGTGTTCTAAAAACAAAGTTCGTTTCTTTTGACAAGTGGCTCCTGAATTGTGCCCAGCCAGACTGCGGCAGTCCTTGAAGGGTTAACTTGCCTAGAACAGTGAAAGAAAATCTGCTTTTATGTGAACTTCTGCAGACTGTGAACTTCTGAGCCCCTTGTCAGCACCTCATAAAAATAAATAAAATAAAGGTCCAATGACAACTGAAAAATAAATTAAAAATAGAATAAGACAATGAGAGAGAGAGAGAGAGAGAGAGAGAGAGAGAGAGAGAGAGAGAGAGAGAGAACGCGCTAGAGAGAGAAGGAAATTAAATAGCAACTCTGGCTTGAAAGACATGAGAAACCCATCCACAGTACAATAACTCTCCCAAAAAATGAATAAATAAAATACTTGGGAATTAATCTACCCAAGAAGTTGAAAGATCTCTAATGAAAATTACGTAACACAGAAGAAAAAATCGAAGACTCCCCTTAGAAGACAGAAAGCCATTCCATAAACGTGGATGAGACAACATTAATTTTGTGAAAATGGCCATAATACCAAGAGCAATATATACATTCATATAATGTCCATCAAAATCCCAATGACATTCTTAACAGACCTAGTCAAAAACAACCTTAAAATTCATATGAAGAATTCCAGAATAGCCAAAGCAATTCAGAACAAAAAGAGTGATGCAACAAGCATTATAATATCTGATCTGAAATTATACCACAAAATATCATATTAAAACCAGAATGGTATGGCATCAAAATAGATGTGAAAACCAGTGGAACAGAATAGAATGCATAGAGATAAACCCACATACTTATAGTTTCTGATACTTATTGCAAGGGGACCAAAAATAAAATTGAATAAAAGAATCTTTTTAACAAATAGTGCTGGGAAAAACTGGATATTTTTAATGTACAAAAATGGAATTAGATCCCCATCTTTCACCTTGCACAAAAGTCAAATTAGAATGAATTAAAGACTTAGAAATTAGATTAGAAACCTTGCAATTACTAAAAGAAATCACAGGGTCAACACTCCTATTCTAGGTGCAGGCACCAACTTCCTCAATAAGACTCTTAAAGTCCACAAAATAAAACCAAGAACCATTAAGTAGAAGGCCACCAACCTAAAAGACTTCTGCACAGCAAAGGAACCAAGACAAAATTGTGGCTAGCTAATCCTATGATTAGCGATTAATATCCAAAATATACAAAAAAAACTTGACACCAAAAAACCCCATAAAGGACCAATTAATAAATGGGCAAAAAAAGTTCTAAATAGAAATTTTTCATGAAAAGAAACTGAAAGGGCCAATAAATGTATTTAAAAAATGTTCAACACCTTTAGCAATCAAGGAAATGCAAACCAAACTACACTAAGATTTCATTTCACTCTAGTCAGAATAGAATTATCAAGAACATACACAATAATACATGCTGGCAAGGATGTTGGGAAAAAACAGACATTGTTGGTGTGACAGCAAATTAGTGCCACCAATTTGGAAAGCATTAATGGGGCTTTCTCAAAAGACTAAGCCTGGAGCTGGGGTTGTGGCTCAGTGGTGGCGTACTAGCCTGGCATGCGTGAGGCACTGGGTTTGATCCTTATTATAAAGACAATAAAATCCATCAAAAAATATATATTAAAAAAAAAAGACTGGAACTACCATATGATGCAATTTTAACTTATTGGTAAAAGAACTCAAATCAGAATATTACAGCAGCACAATTCACAAAAGCCAGTCCAGATGCCTGTCAGTACATGAATGGATAAAAAAATGTTGTATATACACATAATAGGATTTATTCAGCTATAAAGAGGGACAGAATTTATGACATTTACCAATGAATGAATAGAAATAGAATAGAGAACATCATGCTAAGTGGAACTAAATTAGGCTCAGAGAATCAAGGGTTAAATGTTTTCTCTCATATGGGGAATCTGGAGCAAAATTGGGGAAAGGTGGTGAGGGCTGGATATCATAAATATATATATGGAAGACCACTGGAGTAGAAGATCAAGAGAAAGGGAGAAAGGACAGGAAAGAGAAGGAAATAAAAAATGAATTTATCAAAATCACATTATATGCTTATAAAAATATACCACAGGGAATTTCACTTTTAGGTGTATGTACAAAGTACCAATCAAAAATAAAAAGCAAAAGGAATACAATATAGTAGAGGAAGAAGAGGGAAGGAAGAGGTAAGGGGTAGGAGGGGGAATCTGGATTGAAATCAAATTCCTTGCATATATGATTTTTGCAAAATTATTCCAACTAAAATCTCTAATTTTAATAGAATATTGATACATGCTACAACATGGATAAACCTTAAAAATATTATACTAATTGAGAAAGGCCAATCAGAAAACACCAGACATAGGACTTTATTTGTATGAAAGATACAAAATAGGGAATAATAGAGAAGACTATTGTTTCATTATGACATGAAGAAAATGTCCTAAAACTGACTGTAGTAATACTGGTTGCACAGCTCTGTGAATACATTAACACTACTGAACTGTACATTTTAAATCTGTGACAGTACATTTTAAATATATGAAAAATATATACAAGGTTTTGTTGAAAATAATACTACATCAAAATAAATCTATGTATTTTTTGGATTTAAGAAGATTTCATTTTTTGTCTTTGATATAAGGAGAGCAATAAAAACAGAGCAGGGAGGAAGAGTATGAGAAAAAGATTAATATTAAACAAGGACGAGAGGTGGGAGGGAAAGGGAGAGAGAAGGGAAATTGCATGGAATGGAAGGTGACCCTCATTGTTATACAAAATTACATATAAGAGGATGTAAGGGGAAAGAAAAAAAAATCAAGGGAGAGAAATGAATTACAGTAGATGGGGTAGAGAGAGAAGATGGGAGGGGAGGGGAGGGGGGATAGTAGAGGATAGGAAAGATAGCGAATACAACAGTCACTAGTATGGCAATATGTAAAAACGTGGATGTGTAACCGATGTGATTCTGCAATCTGTATACGGGGGAAAATTGGGAGATCATAACCCACTTGAATCAAATGTATGAAATATGATATGTCAAGAGCTTTGTAATGTTTTGAACAACCAATAAAAACAAAAGGAAAAAAAAGATTTCATTTTTAATTGTTTCTTTCCACTTCAAATTATTCACGAAAACCAACTACAATTCTACTACATTAAATTAATCATATATTCAAAAATATACATGCTAAAAATTAATCTGCTGCTTTACTTTTACTTGTGAATCCAATATAAAATAATGAAGATGTACAGTTGATTCTCCAATTCCAATGTTTTTGTATCCATAGACTGACCAAAAGCAAATCAAAATCATTTAGGAAAAACAAAAAAGAAGCTCTCTGCTACACATGCAGATTTTTATGTCCCCTTGTCAGTATTCCCTGAATGATATAGGTATTTTTTGTTTTAGGTATTATATGTGATTCAGATGTAATTTAATATATGCAAAGCAATGTGTATAAGTCACATGTAAACACCATGCCATTTTATATAAGGGTCTTGAGCAATCGTGGCATTTTCTAGGGGTTTGAAATCCCTAACAAGTACCAAATAATGACTACAGGTGTCTGTCCTTCATCATGAACCCTATCCATGGTTCATTTTCCCCTCTTAAGTAGCAATAACTTAAAAAGAATAATTGTTGGTTTCTTTTCTCTACACCCACCCCCTTCGTTTTTAAAAATTACATTTATATTATCTCGGAAATCAATTGCAGGAAAAAGCTAATTAATACTAAAAAACCTCATACAAAATGCACATGCAATATACCCTGTATGTTCTAACTTTAGAATTAACATTGGTCAGGCAGGGATTGTGGCTCAGCAGTAGAGTGCTCGCCTAGCATGTGTAAGGCCCTGGGTTTGATCCCCAGCACCATATAAAAAATAAATAAATAAGATAAAGGTATTGTGTGCAACTATAACTGAAAAAAACTTTTTTAACTGGCATTTTTGTCAGTAATAAAAAAGAGAGCAAAATAACTGGGTATCAGGATGCATGCCCATATGTAATCCCAGCTGCTTCAAAAGCTAAAATGAGGATCACAAGTTCAAGGCCAGGTTGTACAGCTTCCAAGATCCTGTCTCAAAATAAAATTTGAAAGGCTTAAGTCAATGTAGCTTAGAGGTAGAGTGCCTAATGTGCAAAATGCTGGGTTTAACCCTCAGTTTTAGGGAGATAAAGGAAGTGGGGTGCGGGAGGCAATGGAGAATAAAATTTATATTGATCATAATTCATCCCAAAATGGAAAATTGGAATTCAAATTTGTACCAACCTTCCAGTAGTCAGCCTGTAAACTGTAGTATCTCTGATATGCAGATAATGCTGAAAACAAAATAATAATAATAATTAATTAAATCATTTCACATTTGAAGATCTACAATAAGATATTAAGAAACACTTTATTAGAAGTTACCAGGACTACTCATCTATCAACAAACTACCTGACATAAAAACCAACTAATACAAATTTTGTGGCTTAAAAACTGAGTCAGGTGTATAGAAACATGACTAAATCTCACCCATGTATTTGAACAAATGTAAAATCTTGGCATTTACTTTCATCAACTTTTCTTCCCTTGGAAATTAAGAACAATGGAAGTTTTCTAAAGCTCATACATACTACAGTGAATCTTCTCAACTTTTTCTTAACATTTCTAACAAGTCAAGTAACTCTTAGTTGTGATGTTTCCCTTTACAAAGTCTTTGGACCCTGTTTTCAGTTTAATTACAATATACTTATGCCCTCCTCTCAACCCATCTTAAGGAGCAACATTTTCTCATGTCACATAAAGTAGTTTCTGACAGATGAAAAGGAAAATCAGAAGCTATATAAGCATATAAGAATTAAGACATTCAGAATATTTTTAAAAAGGAAAATACTCTATCACTGTCTAACTGACTCAGAGTTTACTTGGGTGAGATCTAAGCATGTATTTAAGTTCCCTGGAGTTAACTTTAAACTGAAAATGACCTTAAAGTAAAAAGAAAAAACTTAAATGAAAGCAGTGTCACACCAAAGGAACAGTATGCTGTAGATTTTTATATCTTTCACAAACATTTCTATGAATTTCAGATGTCTTTATAATAGAAATGTAAATATTATCTGAAATCCTTTAAAATTTAAACCACAATTTTTTTAAGTCTAATAAGAAACATTTGCTTTTTCAGTTTTAATGCTAAAGGGACAGCAGTATATGTAAGAATCACAATGCAGGCTATATTTCATGTCTGAAAATTTTATGACTGAAAACAAAAACATAGAAGAAAATTACTTCGAAAAAATAGCCTAAAGGATCCACAAATCCTTCCAGAAGAAAAGCAAACAAATGGTAAAAATTACCTTTAAACTATCACTTAAAAGTCTCTGGAAATTGTCTTTTAAGAACACCAACCAAATGAAAACATACTTGCATTAGAAAATCTATATAATATTAAAAGAACAATAAGAATGTATAGCATTTAGTCATAAATCATTCCTTCTCTCACCATTCCCACTTCACACCTTACCCACTAGGATTCAACTACGAAAATCTTAAAAACACTTGAGTTCTTTCTCCTTGCACAAGTGCCTGTTTTAGGGCTTAAATATCTCCCCAAGAGGGTGCCAATATTTCTCTTCACCATTTGGCTCCATATTCCAAGCAAGAGCAAATGACAATGATATTGCTTTGATCTATATACTCACTCTTACAGAGCTGAACCTAAATCAAGTGATAGCAGACCAAAACTATACCCATCCTTAGCCCTCATAACTCAGAGAGGAAGATTTCATACTTGGAGAAGCAAACAGAGAAAGATCAAGATTTGCTCCAAAAAGCAGAGGACTATTCTAAGAAAAAATATTTAATATCCCAGGCTCCAGCCCTCAAAAGGAGAAGTTCGGGCTGGAGTTGTGGCTCAGTTGTAGAGTGCCTGCCTAGCGTGTATGAGGCACTGGGTTCAATTCTCAGCACTGCATATAAACAAAAAATAAATTTCCATCAACAACTAAAAAATATACTGAAGGAAAAACAAAAAGCAAAAGTTCCACTCTGAAGGCTAAGGTAGGAGACTTTTGAGTTCAAAGTCAGCCTCAGCAAAAGTGAGGTACTAAGCAACTCAGTGAGACCCTGTCTCTAAATAAAATACAAAATAGGGCTAGGGATGTAACTCATCTAGTGTCCTTGAGTTCAATCTGTCATATTTATGCCCCTCCCCCACCATCCCCAGAAAAGAAGCTTAAAAATTAATTTTTTCCATCTAGGAAAAGATAAGTAGGTCCACTCTCACCATTCATATAATACAGTGCTAAAAATTATATTCAGAGAAATTAGAAAAGGGGAAAAAGAAGTGATAAAAACAGGAAAGAAAGAATTCAATTTTTTTTAAAAGAGAGAGATATATAATTTTTTAATATTAATTTTTTAGTTTTCGGCAGACACAATATCTTTGTTTGTATGTGGTGCTGAGGATCGAACCCGGGCCGCACGCATGCCAGGCAAGAGTACAACTGCTTGAGCCACATCCCCAGCCCAAGCTTACTTTTTTAAATCATTTTTATTTATATGTGGTGCTGAGAATCGAACCCAGTGCCTCTCACATGCTAGGCAAGTGCACTACCACTGTATCACAACCCCATTCAAATTATCACAGTTTGCAGATATGATCCTATAGCTAGAATTTCAAAAACTCCACGAAAACACGATTAGAGCTAATAAATTTGACAAAGTAGCAGGATGAAAAAATCAATATTCAAAAATCAATAGCTTTCCTACATACCAGCAATGAATCTACTAAAAAAGAAATCAGAAAGCAATACCATTATAATAGCTTCAAATAAATAAATAACCCAGCTAACCAACCTAGAAATAAATGTAACCAAGAAGGTGAAAGACCTCTGTCTGTAATGAAAACTGTTAACACCGAAGAAAGAAATTGAAGAAGACCTCACAAGATGGAAAAACCTTGAATGTTCAATGATATAAAAACCCATATTGTTAAAATGGTCATAGTACCAAAAGCAATATATAAATTCAATTCAATCCTCATCAAAATATCAATGACTTATTCACAGTACAAGGGGGAAAAAAAGACTAATGGTGAATAGAAGACACAGAGACAAACTTACACATCTACAGTCATCTGATTCTTCACAAAGCTGCTAAATACATATTAAAGACAGCCTGCTTAATAAATGGACCTGGGGAAACTGATTACCCATATGTCAGAAGATTGAGATTACACCTTTATCTCTCACTTTGCACAAAAAAATCAACTCAAAGTGGATCAAAGACTTAGGAATTATACATGTATGAAGACATGAATGATATGACTCTACTTTGTGTATAACCAGAGTTATAAAAAATTGTGATGCATTCTGCTGTCATATATAACAAATTAGAATAGAATAAAATAAAATAAAAGACCTAGGAATCAGACCAGAAACTATGCTACTCCTAGAGGAAAAGTTAGGGTCAACACTCCAGCATATAGGCACAGGCAATGACTACTTCAATAGGATCCTTAAAGCTTAGGTAATAATGCCAGCAGTTAATAAATGGATGCATCAATTAAAAAGCTTCTTCACAGAAAAAGAAAATAAGTATGTGAAGAAAGAACCCACAGAATGGGAGAAAATCTTTACTAGCTCTGACAGTCAAAGATTAATATCTAGAATATATAAAGAAATCAAAACACACCAAAAACCTTAAATAACACAATAAATGGGCAATTGAGTTAAACAGACAATTCTCAAAAGAAGAAATAGCCAACAATTTTTTAAAAAACTGTTTAATTATCATTAACAACTTGAGGAAATGCAAGTCAAAACTACAGTGAGATTTTATTTCATATCAGTTAGAATGGCACTTATTGTGAATACAAATAACAGTAAATATAAATGCTGGAGAAGATTATGGAGGAAAAAAACATTTTTACATTGGTGGTGGAATTGTAAATTAGTACAACCACTATAGAAATCAATACAGAGAATGCTGAGAGCCATAGCCAAGTAGGAATGATGCATCCCATTTTGAGTTGAAAGGTGATGCCAGCAAGCCAATGAGATGATAATGATTATGTTAAGATGTGCATTCAATTGGAGATTAGACCCCTGCTGTCCTCCTTGACCTGCTACTTTGGAGCTCTTATGGGACTCCCGGAGAGTTCCCATTGGTTGGGGAAGTGAGGTAGGAGAGAATTCTAGAGGAGGGATTTCCTGTTGGTGCAGTGTGTCCTGGGAGAAGGCCACTTGCATGGGATTCGAGGGAGGTTTGGAAATAAAGCTTGTTCCAGCAAGAGAGTCCTTAAAAAACCAAGCATGGAACCACCATATGATGCAGCTATATCACTCTTTAGTATTTACTCTGAAGAATTATAATCATCATACTATAGAGATACATACGTACCCACATTAATGGCAGCACAAGGCACAGTAGCCAAACTATGAAACTAACCTACATATCTATCAATGGCTGAATGGATCAAGAAAATATGGTACATATACAAAATAAAATTTATTCAGCCGAAAGGGAAAATGAAATTATGGCATTTGCAGGAAAATAGACAGAACTATAGACCAATATGTTAAGCAAAATGAGTCAAACAAAAGGCTAAGGGTTGTATAGTTTCTCTCATATGAGAAAGCTAGAGAGGGAAAAAGGAAAAGAAAAGGTGGTGATTTCATGAAAATCAGGACAGGTAAGGGACCTAGGGTGGGACAGGGGAAGGAAGAGGAAGTGCTAGGGAGTGACACTGGCAAAATTATATTGTTATGTTATATACATGCATGAATATGTAACAACACATCCTATCAGTATATATAACTATAATGCACAAATTAAAAATACATGAGAAGAAAAAACCCTGCTTTTTTCCAGAAGAAAATGAGATGATATATTTAAAATGCTATAAAATACTGCAAATCAAGAAACTTAAAAATACGCAGCAAAATTATTTTTCAAAAATGAAAAAAAAACTAAAACATTTCAGATAAAAAAAATAGGCCAGATAAAAACGGAGATGGCTCACAACCAGTATGCTTGTTCAAATGCTAAAAAGATTAAAATTTGAAATTAAGACATTAAACACTGACCTGAAGTTATATTTAAAAGGTGGGGGGGGGGCTGGGAATATAACTCAGTTAGCCTCACTTGCATAAGGCCCTGGGTTCAATCCCCAGCAACACACACACACACACACACACACACACACACACACACACACACAGAGTGATTAAAGAGTATCTACTTTGGGGCTGGGGTACTGAGTGGTATAGCACTTGCCTAGTATGTGTGAGGCAATAGGTTCGATTCTTACACCACATACAAATAAGTAAATAAAGT